AGAATAAAAAGAATAATAAGAAGACTAATACTAATAAGAGTAATAATACGAATAAGAATAATAATACGAATAAGAAGACTAATACTAAGAATAATAATAATAATAATAATAAGAAGAAGAAGAAGAATACTAATAAGAAGAAGAATAATAAGAATAACAATAAGAACAAGAAAACGAAGAGGAGGAGCAGGAGGAGCAGGAGCAGGGAGGCAGGAGGAGGAGGAGGAGGAGGAGGAGGAGGAGCAGGAGCAGGAGGAGGAGGAGGATGAGGAGGAGCAGGAGCAGGAGGAGGAGGTGGAGGTGGAGGAGGAGGAGGAGGAGGAGGAGGAGGAGGAGGAGGAGGAGGAGGACACGCGCAGGGGCTGAGGAGGAGGACGAGGAGGATGAGGAGGAGCAGGAGCAGGAGGAGGAGGCCCCCTGGCCTCCACGGCTGGATTCAAGGGTGGGGTTTGTCGGCATTTCCAGGTGTGCGATGGAGGGAGGGGAGAGGCAAGGATTTATGCATGCCAGCCGCCAGGGGAACCGAGCTTCATGGACCTTGAGAGGTATATGGATATATTCGATTCCGCATCCATTGCCCCCTGGAGTCCTGGGACATATCGGCTCTCCAGGCGGTGGATACGTGTTCAGCTGGTTGCGGCAAGCCCCGCTACCGTGCCTGTTCAACAGCTTAGTAGGAAGGCGGTTTACTTTAAGATCCGCTCACTTTCAGACAGGGTTCTGAATTGGATTGGGTCTTGAACACCCCCTCCTTGACAGTAGCCTCGTTCTCCTTGTCCTTCTTCTTCGTTCCTCCTCCTCCGCCTTCGCTTTCCTCCCTCTCCCAATGCATCTTAGAGGCGCCTCTGGGGCTTCTTGAGGGCCTCTCGGGGGCCTCTGAGAGTGGTCTGTCTGGGGGCTCTTGGGGGCCTCTTCGGGACTTCTTGTGGGCCTCTCTTGGCCCTTCGGGGACGTCTTGGGGGCCTCGAGGGGCCTCTCGGGACTTGGGCAGTCTTGGGAGTCTTTTGCGCTCTCTTGGAGCTCTAACTAATGGGCCGTCTGAGAACACCTTCAGGCCGTCTTTCAGCCCTCCTGGGCTGTCTTGGGGCCCTCCGGGATTGCCTTATTGGGAACCTTTTGGATTCCAGACGCCCGAAAGGGCATTCTACGAAACTCATAAACCTGTTTTTTTGCCTCTCGAGGGCCTCTTGGGCGCCCTCTTGGAGTACTTTTCGGACGTCTTGAAGGCCTCATGGGCCGTCTTGCGGCCATTTGGGGGTATGTTGAGGCCCTCTTGCACCGTCTCGAGGCCTTTTAGGGCAGTTTTGGGGCAGTCTTTGGGGGCCTTTTGGGCTATCTAGGGGCGAGCTTGGCCGTCTTGGGGCGGTTTTCGGCTCTCTTGGGGCTGACTGGTAGCCGAAAAGAGCCCCCCGATTACAAATTCAGGGGGGCGGTTTTCAGAGGATTTGCGGTTCGAGGCGGGGGATCGGCCGCAGCAAGCATTTTAAACACCTCACCAGACAGACGAGCACTCTAACACGCCTATTGCGAGCAGACACGGTGGCGGATAAACTCTGGCCTCGCAGTGTGGGAGAAGAGGCGGCGGAACTTTCGCGAGGCCACCGGAGAATGGCCTATGAAGAAGCTAGGGTTCTCCCCCAACAGGACAATGCCAACCCTGCGAGGTTCCGTAACAGCACATCGCTGAGCGTTGTTGCAGCCGATGCCCCGAGCATTGACCCCTCTAGGAGCAGCAGCCAAACCAGTGGTGTTTGCGCCCTCACCCCGGGGAGGGATAGGAGGGAGGGGAAGGAGGAGAGCCCGCAAAGTCGAGATCCGTCGGCGAGCTCAAATGTTGCGCGTGGAGTGGGCTCCGCTCTGGTCACCCACGGGATCCGCAGCGATGCTGGTCTTGCAATCGCCACTGGTTGTTTGACCAGTCAACTCGGCCTTATCAAGTCAAGTGACAAGTCATATCGACCGCATGGCTGGCTCAGGGTCGACACTCTGCCACTACGCTCAGGTTGGAGGAAGCGACTGGATCGCACGATTCCGTGTGACCAGTGCCTTTGATCGACTCAGCGGCTTGCCACCCGAACAGTTGTGGGTTTTTTCCGTGTCACGGCTGTGGCCGTGGAGGTTGGATTTGGGGCCCGCCCGCCAAGGTTGAGGCATGCACTCCATGACCCTCACGTGCGAGACTACATTTCTCCCGAGGAGTTTCGGTCCGCGTTCTCGAAGGACTCTGGAACCTGAGTGAGGCACTTTTGTTTGCCACTGCAACAGTTACATCCTGGGGAGAGTGGTGAGATGGGGTCGGAGGGAAGGGGACAAGACGGCTTGCGGCACGAGAGCCAGATATTTAGATTCTAAGTGCGCGGTTGCTTGCGATCGAGACATTATACCTCCTCCCCATTGGTTCACCGATCCATCTTGCGTTAGCCTTTGTCATGGATCCCAGTTGCGCCTACAGGGCGGCTTCTGCGACTGCTGTGGCGCCAAGCGGGCGCCGGGCGAGATGGTCCCCTTGGGCGGGCAGCTCTCTGATTCGATGACGCAGCCGCCGCCAGTCCTCTCCAAGCTAAGGGGGGCAGGTGTAACACCTCCAGGGCCTCCTTCAATAGTAATAAAATTTGTTGTAATGAGGGTAAAAAAATAATAGTAATCGTAATGATTGTAGTAGTAGTAATACTAATAGTAATAGTTAGGAATATCAGCAATCCTAAAAATAATAGAAAAATAATTGTAGTAGTAGTAGTAGTAGTAGTAGTAGTAGTAGTAGTAGTAGTAGTAGTAGTAGTAGTAGTAGTAGTAGTAGTAGTAGTAGTAGTAGTAGTAATAGTAGTAGTAGTAGTAGTAGTAGTAGTAGTAGTAGTAGTGATAGTAGTAAGGAATTCCTTGGCGTGTCCCCTCTTCCCTGGCTGTTGTTGAACTCTCACTTCGGAGGTTTACTTACTGCTGCTCCCCTCCCCGGGTGCCCACTGTTGTTTTTCTCCACTTCGGCTTGCCCGAGGGGTTCCCACTTGTTTTTGAAGAGCCAGTCTCAGGAGGGAAAGAAACACACAGACACAATTAATCGTCGAGTCCCAGGAAAATATAGGAAAATATGGGAAGTGGAGGGGAAGACAAAAACCCAGAAAATATAGGAAAATATGGGGAATATCTTTATTTGTGTGTATTTATTTGTGTGTCCCAGGGCCCCTTCATAGTTGGAAATAGGCCAGCGCTGGCCGGCGTTCCTCGGGTTCTCTGGGTTCCCCAGGTTCCTTTGGTCTTGTCCCCTTCCTGTTTTGGTGAGGCTAGCCTTCCTCGGGTTCTCCGGGTTCTCCGGCTTCCTTGGTCTTGTTTCCTACCCGTGTTCGAAGCAATGCCAAGCAATGCCAGGCAGTGCCAAGCAGTGCCAAGCGATGCCAAGCCGTACCAAGCAATGCAAAGCAATGCGAACATTGCCAAGCATCACCAAGCAGTGCAAAGCAATGCCAGTCAATGCCAACGAATTTCAAATAATGCCAAGCAATGCAAGGCATGAAGTATTGCGAAGAAATACCAAGTCATGCAAATCAATGCAAATCAATGCAACTCAATGCCGAGCAATTAATTCAAAGCGATGCCAAGCAATGCCAAGCGATGCTACGCAATGCAATGCAAACCAACGCAATACCAAGCAACGCAAAGCAACGCGAAGCAATGCCAAGCGATGCCAAACACTGCCAACCAGTGCCACACAATGTCAATTTGTGCGTGCCAAGCAACGCCAATCAATGCGAAGCAATACCACACAATGCCACGTTTTTCCAAGCAATGCCACGCACTGACAAGCAATTTCGCTTAGGAAGCGTTCCCCTAATTAAGGTCGCGCCAGGTTCATTGAAATGCCCCCCCAAAGTATTCGCACCCGGTTCCATCAGGGGAATTCGTGACTCTTCGGGCGTTGGGCCCCGCAGCAGCTGCTTCCCGCGATACCCCTTTTACAATCTATTTCGGAATCTCGCTCTCGCTCGAGCGCTCCTCGCAATTTGCAAAAGAAACGCGCTCTCGCTTAGGATTGAGTCAGAATTTGAGGAATCGCGGTCTCGCTGCTCAGGAATCGTGCTCTCGCTCGGCACGTCCTCGCAATTCGATCAGGGATCGCGCTCTCGTCACTCAGGCATTTCACTCTCGCTCAGGACTTCCTTACGAACTGCTCAAGAAACGGGCTCTCGCCCGTTTCCTCCCCAAGATAATATAGGAATCGCGCTTTAATGTCCTGCCCCTTCGACCCGCCCGTTAGGGTCCGCCCGCCCGACCCGCCTGTTAAGGTCCGGCCGCCCGACCCGTGTGGTAGGGTCCGCCCGCCCGGCCCGTCCGTGAGGTCCGCCCGTTCGTTTGCTTGGAAGCTCGTTCGCCCACTTTCATGACCTGCCCGTCCGACCCGCCCTCAGCTTCGCCCGCTGGGCCCAGCCGTTGGAGTGTCCCGCCCGTCCGACCCGCCCATTCGGGTTCGCCCGTTGACCTGCTTGCAAGCCCGCCTCACCACCCACCAAACCACCCCAACCCAACCCGAAGGGTCAGATTTACCCTCGATTTCTAGTGGGGGGGGGGTCAGGAAACATCGAAATAACACGTATGGAACCCATACCCCCCCCAACATACCCCCCCCAACCCGAAATTCGGGTCTTCGGGTTGGGTTGGGGTGGTCTGGTAGGTAGTCACCGCCCGCACGCCCACTCCAATGTCCCGCCCTCCCCGCCCGCCCGTCAGGGCCCGCCCGTCAGAGCGTCGTGCCTCTCTATCCCGCGGCCCCACACACGGAGCCCCGGCCCCCTACTCTCCAGCAGCTCGGCCGAGGCGGGGGCGGCGGGGGAGACCCCCAGGAGGAGCACGAGCACGAGCACGGAGCCACACGCCGTCCGGCGCGCAGGCGGGAAACGTCTGAGTTCAGGCGCTCGCAGCCAGTGCGCCTGCTGAACAGGACAATCGGAGGAGGAGGAGGAGGAGGAGGAGGAGGAGGAGGAGGAGGAGGAGGAGGAGCAGGAGGAGGAGGAGGAGGAGGAGGAGGAGGAGGAGGAGGAGGAGGAGCAGGAGGAGGAGGAGGAGGAGGAGGAGGAGGAGGAGGAGGAGGAGGAGGAGCAGGAGGAGGAGGAGGAGCAGGAGGAGGAGCAGGAGGAGGAGGAGGAGGAGGAGGAGGAGGAGGAGGAGGAGGAGGAGGAGGAGGAGGAGGAGGAGGAGGAGGGGTCCAGGAAATCGTCGGGAGCACCGTGGGCAGGCGCCCCCAGCGAGGAGAGGCCCCTCACGCCTTCGTTCCGCAAAACCGCGCGAACCCGCACGGACGCGGACGAACTCCGCCACACAGAACGACACGCGCTGGGCCCGCAAGGCCTGAGGATTACCGCCTAGCAGCTGCGGCGGGGGCCGCGGAGGGATGTCCCTGGGCACGTGTTGGGGGCCTTCGCCTAGCGCGGGCCCGTGCCTTGGTCTGCAGCCTTCACGGGCATCGAAGCTGCGCTCTGATGTGAGAGGCCCTGGACGTGTCCTCGAGGCCCTGGGTGCGTCAGAGTGCCCTGGGGAGGCCTCTGGTGGGGTGGGTCTCTTCTGGGAGGGTCCTGGCGTTCACTTCTGGAGGCCTCTCCCGAAGCGGCCGACTTCTATCGGGGCCCCAATCGCACAGTGCTTGGAAGAGGCCTCTGGGTCTCCAGCGCGATCTTCCAGTGCCCATCCGAAGAAGGCAAGTTCGAATTTGTGACCCCCTTCGGATCACTCAGTGCCTTGCAGGCTGCGCCCTTAGCAACACGCGTAGGTTTCTGGTGGCTTAAGCGCCGTCCTGCTCATCCATCCCTGCCTGCCCCTCCACTCCTCACCCCCCTCCGCCAATCGCCGCTTACCGCGAATCAGAGCCAGAGTGCCGTTGCCACCAGGCGAGACTTTCGAGCAACGTGCTGCCCAGCCGCCCAGCCAGAGCAATCGCTCCCCACAGATTGTTAAAGCTGGCCAAGGGCGACCGAGCGCCGACGAAGAGCCCGTCCATCGCCCCCCCTTGCGTGCCTCCCTCTTGGCCTCTTCACCTCACCCTGTTGCTCCGTGGGGGAGGCGTGCGCGGTTATCGCTGTTTCGCTGGCGGAGGAGGCAGGGTGTGCACCACGGCCCTCGACGAGGGCAGTGCCCAACGACAGGCCCGCCAATGCAATGTTTCCACTCTACCCTGTAACGCGGCCAGCGTGCAGAGCGGCTCAAGCCGCGAGGAATGTTTGTGTCGACGACCTTTGCCCTTCCGCCCCCCCCAGGTTGAGGGGATGACGCTGCTGCCAGCTGCCAATCAGGCCCAGAATGCCGCGGCCACCTGGCAAGGCCTTCGGGGAAAGCACGGTCCAGCCACCCTGTCAGAGCGATCGCGCCACCAGATTGCTTAAGCTGGCCAAGGGCGGCAGAGTTCCGACGAAGAGCCTGTCCATCCCTCCTTTCGGCGTGCTTTCCCTCATGTCATGCTTCCCTCATGGCTTGTTCACCTTTTTCCTTTGCACCTCCAGGTCGGAGGGAGCGGGGGTGGGGGCGTGCGCGGTTATTAGTGTTTGGGTGGCGGAGGAGACAGGGTGTGCACCAATGCCCTCGACGAGGGCAATGTCCAGTGCCAGGCCCGCCAACGCAATGTCCCTACTTTGTCCTACAACGCGACCATGTGCTGGCGACCTCCGCCCTTCCGCCCCATGCCCTCCGAATACCTTTCCTCGCTCACCCTGGCCCGCCCTGGCCGCTTCAGGTCCGCGCCCCTGACCGTTGGGATGAGGATTCTGGGGGGGCGGGGTCATGAGAGGACTGTCACTTTTTAGTCGTCCGCCCCGAACACCGCGACTGGCAGGTGCTTCAGGACCTTTGTTTGATCCCCCTCAGCCCCCCAGGGACAACGGCCCCTGGGGGGGGCTACCCCTGGGGGGGGCGACGTCAGAGTACATCGATGCTGTCAGTGTCCGGTGTCCAGGGGGAGGAGCGGGAAAAGGTTGGGAAACCCGTCGCGGGGAGGCACGGCAGGATGGTCCCCTGCCCGTTTGGACTTCTTCACAAGCATTCGCGCTCCCTATCCGTTGGTGGACTTCCTTGACGTCCACGCCAGGGCGCCGCCTCGACAAGCAGACGGCGCTACTGAGATTTGCGCGAGGGTGCCCATCATTTCCTCGTTTCCCAGGGTCCAGGGATTCCCCGCCCTCCCTCCTCGTCGCGTCTCTTCTTCCTCGCGCCCCTCTCACCCTCGAACCCATCTCCTCCCCCCCTTCTCGCGCGTCTCTCCTCCTCCTCCTCGTCGTCTTCCTCCTCCTCCTCCTCCTCTTCGCTGCCCCTCCTCGCGCCCCTCTTCCCCCTCCTCCTTCTCCTTCTCCTTCTCCTCCTTCTCCTTCCTCCTCCTTCCTCCTCCGCCTCCTCCTCCTCCTCCTCGCCGCCCCCCGTAGCCGTTTTATGTGGCGTCTGCTGGGCGTTGCGGGGAGCCTGGAAGACTGCCGCACCAGGCTCGTGGTGGTCGCCGTGGTCGTGTCAGCCCCAGCTCGACTGCAAGTC